TTGTATCAATCTTTTCAATCTTTGTGCATGCTTAGTTTGTATACCTTATCAGTTCCATGGTCATGTGCCATAGTTGATTCCATGTATCTCTGACTAGCTTCAGACCTTCTAGCAAAGCTTCCAATGCTTGATTGCTACAATTGAAGGCCAATTTAATTATATATATAATGTAAAAAATGCATATGGTGAGCATAGTGAGATTTGCATAAGTTACCTTGGCAATCATGTGTTCATGTGGTACAGATGGTTTGTGGCAACCATTTTTAGCAGGAATATAACTGATTAAATGCTTCTGCTGCAACTTATGAAAAACAACATTATAAAGACTTACAAAAGCATCAATTTAAAAATTATCAAGTAAATATTGTACCACCTGCACATTATCTGGTGTAGAATGTACATGTTCACATGATTCTTCAACATTGGATTCATGTTGGATATCATTACCAACTTGTTCAGAAATATCAACCTGCAAAAAAAGCATAATCCATGCATATGTACTGATCACATAGTGTATTCGTTAATTGATCTTTAGACAGGGGAAGATGGTGTACAGTGACACTTACTTCTTTATTTTGTTCTGCAACCACAATATTTCTCCAATCCTCTCCAGGGAATTTTTGTTCTATGAAGGCACGCATCAGAGTCATATCAACACTCATAGCCTCTATTTTATTTTCCATTGCATTCATTTGTAACTTAAGCATTGCATATTCCTCAGATTGTCCAACAACATCTAGTCCCTGAGAAACCCTTATTTGGCTCCAATTCTTATGATCGTAGTACCCTCGAAGTTTTGTCTCTTTTCCAACTACACGTCGAAAAACTTCATCATAATCTTTGGATGAAAGACCACTGCAACTAGTAGATTTCTTTTTAGCTAATTCATGGTAAGCCGATTCCTACATAATTAAACATGCATGAATTAGTTTATCATAAATGAACCAAACTACATTTGTGATAACAACTAGCAAGGAAAGAAATTTACCACTACCGCCTTAATGCGCTCATCCTTTTTCTTATGTGCTTCATCCCATACGTCAATGTCATGGACCTTCCCTTTAACTTTTGCTTCCTAGGCAACAAAGAATCAGAAGATAGATCAAATTTAGCATTAGAAAGCTATAGATATGTAACAATAACATTTAAGTCCAAAATAATTACCACCATCTCTTTACAAAGCCTAGCATGGCTTTTTCTACCAGTTGTATGTAGATTCCTCTGCTGTTTTGCGCTTTCAGAGTTTTTCTCACATAATTTCTGAAAATAGAGAAGCTGTACTAAATACAGATGATTAGGAAACAAAATTTGGACTGTATGTTTAGCATTAAAATGGAGAGGTCACCTTGTGTTTATCCTGACACCATATTTTAACAAGACCACGCCATTGATATCCATTGACACCTTTTGGGACATATTTTAATATATCGTTTAGAGTCCTCACATCAGGATTAAAGTATCTTCCCTTCAAACGGCTTTTGTAAGATCTCCACCCTTTATCAGCTTTCATTAGAATCCAGTCTCTTGTAAGCTGCTTCGTCTCAGAAGGGTACACAAATTTCATCTTTACCATGAATAACTAAAAGTTAGATCTGAAATAAGCATGATAATATTTGTTTACATTAATTAAAAATTCACCTCCACGTCAGCGACTATGCTCTCCTTTGGTCCCACAAATAAGTCATGGTCCCATTTTGGAATGTCCAATGGTGCAAATGTTGAATTCTGTGCAAGCTTACCAAGATACGAGCCTAGAACAGAACCTGATCTATCATTTGGAATACCATGTTCATCCGTCTCTACAATTACCTTTCCTTGCTTCAGTTGGTCCAAGTTTTTTACATTAAAATTTCCTAGAACCTGTCGTACCTCCCCATTTGGCCCTACATTTAGGAACAGTTCAGCTATGGGTGATAGGAAAAATCATATATATAGACATATATAGGAAGAAAATATGAAACTTACAGATTATATTAATTGGTCTTTTGGCTGCAAGAGGCAACTCCGTGATTATGTCATCATTCTCTGAAAGGTCTTGCTCACTATCTTCTGTGGGTTGTACATTCCCTGCATCTTGAGCTTCGAGATGCAAATTATCGTCATTGAATTGTGCATCTGCTTCATCTAGAGCTTCAAAGTTGTACAGCAAATTTTCTTCTTCATCTTGCACATGTCCTGCGCTCTGTGCATCTAGGTTCAACTTCCGTAGACGTCTTGGCCCCCTCGCCATAATTGTTTACTGAAGTAAAACATGCATATAATGAAAGTTAATTAACTGCATAGGAAATTCGAAATGCATGATAAGCAATTTTATTGTTTTTATGGCCTGTTCATTTACAGAATTAGGCATAGATAATATACAATGCACTGCACAATCTAATTTCCATCTGCATATGTGCCTTATTCTGTCAAACAGTAATATACTAAAGAGGAATGAGAATAATTTAGTGAATTATAAATTATACATTAAGATTGTGCTTGGTGGATCTTCAGAATAACGATAGCTGTGCATTGATGAAATCCAATTTACACAATACCAGGATACTCGCAGATCGGGCACACTACAAGCAGCAACAATTGCGACCACAAAGACGATGACCCAAGGAGGACTTGCCGGCCACCATTGAGAGTTTCAACCAAGAAATTAGAAAAATGGAAATGGAAGGTAGTGGAACCCTACCCCTTTAGGTCTTGTTCTGCTAATCCCTCTCTCACAAGTGGACCGAGAGGATTTGGAAGGGATTTATTCCACACCTATTATGGTGTGGAATCGTTCCCCCTCAATCCTCTCCAAACCCCCCTTTCTCTTAGGGATTAAACGAACCCTTATGGCAGTGATGAACTGCTGTTGATGGAGGGGAATAGGGGGCCAAACTACAGAGAAGCTAGGGGGGATTTTGAATTTGCCTAACTTGTTGATTGACTGAAATTAAGGAGAGAAGGCGATGTACTAACCTAGATCGATTCAATGCGCAACAAAGAAACAGCAAGAAGAATCAGCAGAGGTTAATTGACCCACCTGTGTGCAAGGAAGAACGGAGGAACAGCACTGCCGGGCGCCGGCGGCGGGCAGCCGTCGTGTGCAAGGAAGAACGGAGGAACAGCACCGCCGGGTGCCGGCGGCGGGCAGCAGTCGCCAGATTGGGTTTTCCAATTCTGTTACAGGAGAGTACTATGGAGAGGGAGAGGTTTAGGGATGTGGCGTGGAAAAGTAGGTCCGTGATATATATACAGTAAGCTTTCCAAAAAAAAAAATGCCGCCAAAAAAATCAGCCTAGGCGGCAAAACAAAATATATTTAGGAACGGCAGTCGATATATATACCGCGAACGCTTCGAAAAATATGCCGCCAAAAGAAATCCGCCTTAGGCGGCAAAACAGGAACGCTACTACTACTACTACACGTATCTTTACAAACATACGTGTAGAGAATCTCAATACTTGTTGTGGTCTATTGGTTAACAGGTGTTTTTCTGTGACATACATACATTGTTCGAGCTCAAAAGTTCGTTGTATTTTTGCTTTTTTTACTTTGAGCTGGATTTGCATGACTTTGCTTGAGATTTTTTTTAAAAAATAGTAAATAATTTTGTATGTTCATCTCAGATATTTTTAAATATATTCATGTCAGATTAACAATCTGAAAATATATTTTTATTTAATCTGGGTTTGCATGACTTTGCTTCAGAATTTTTTAGTATTAATAAATTAAAGTCCCTGTCCATCTCAGATGAATAATTCCAAAATATATTTTCTCTAATCTGGATTTGCATAAGTTGGCTTGAGATTTTTTTTGGAATTAGCAAATAATAGTTTGTATTCGGAATTGGTCAGGGGCGGATCTAACTTGTCGGTAGGGGTGAAATAGGGCGGGTATTTCCCAACCGCCCGCCCGACCCGAGACTCATGGGAGGAATATGGAAAAAAGGGGATACCCGATACTATCCGAGTTCGAACTCGAATTCGTTAAAAAAATATGGGTTAGGATAGGGGAAGACATGTATTTGCCCGTATGTCATGTATTATAAAAACATGATAAAAGATTGGTTAACCATTATTTTACGTGCTCATATGTAATATTGTATATTTTTTCTTGATGTATCTTTTTGATACTTTAATTACCTTATTATATTTATTATATATGAATTAGAGATACAAATTAATATCTGTTCCTGAATCCGATTCGAAGGAAATAATATGGGATATGATACGAGATGGGTGATATGTTATATGGTACTACGCATACTTGGCTCCGATTTTTTTTAGAATTAATAAATAAAAGTCTGTATTTATAGGAGATTTAACAATTAAAAAAGCTTTTTTATTTTAATTTGCATATGTTGGCTGGACGATAATTCATAAAATTATCCCTAATGTACCCACATATGTATAAGTTGTCGGTTTTTAATAAATGATGCCGTTGATTTTCAATATTTATTTGACCATTTATCTTTTTTCGAAAGAACTACATAACTATAATTTATTGTATTGTGACTTGGTTTGTAGTTAAAAATATTTTAGGCTTGACTTATATATATGGGTAGATTATTTATATTATAAATCATTTTAAGCATTTTTTAAAAAATATTCACGTAGGCAAGGAAAGGGGTTCAAATTCATAAAAATACAATTCATAATAGATGTATTTTTCAAAAGAAAAAAAATCAGGTTATGATGTAATAAGAAAAAGGGCAAAAATATGAGTGTGTTTTTCAGTTATAAAAACCGAGTGATGCGTTGAAGTGGAATCGAGCCCTAGAACTACTGATTGATAGATTGATGTGCTAACCAACAAGGAAACGTAAGATTTGTGCTTCTATGCATAGCAACTCCCTAAAAGTATAAAGACGTGTATTTGGCAAACCTGAAACTAGGACTGAACAACCATAACCTATCATCAGATAACAGTGAACAGAACAAAACCAGTCGACAAATTTAGATGATTTCAATATCAACAGTGAACAGAAACAGAACCAGTCGACAAATTCACCATAAGTCAAAACTCACATCATTGCTCATTCAAATATATGCAATCAAATCAAGCAGCTAAATAAAAAGTAAAATCAGAGTGTATGGGTAAACAAACAAGCTTTAACACAGTATTGTCCAAGATAAAATAATTTCCTGCTACTGCATCCCTGAAAGCACACAACCATCCTCTACTCTGTTTCATTAGATTGTTGTTCCACACCCATATCAAAAATATCTCTGGGCTTAAATCTCGTTACGACGTGCCATCCTTTAGCTTTTGCATCTTCAGCATAAAAAACCTGTTCCACTTGTGATGAAAAGACAAATGGATCATGATCTAATTTATCTCCACTATGTATCTTTCGGGAGAAGTTCACAAGGGTGAAATCAAATTCATCCTTTTTGATGCCGGCTTTATGATGGACGTCATACCAATCACATCTGAAGAGCACTACCTTGTATTTTCTATATGACAATTCTACGATGTCCGATAATCTGCCATAGTAATTAACACCATCATCAGCAATGTTAACTACGCCGCTGTTTTGAGTGGAGCGGCCAGCCTCACGCATCATAGTGTGGAACCTGAAACCATTAATAATATAGCCACTGTAGCACACAACAGTTTTGTTCGGTTTTGCAGCCAACGCTCTCGTCTTTTCATCGATATCTACTCCACCATTTTGTAAAACCTGCATAAGAATATTGTTATTCTTGGCTATCTAAATAACTTCTTACAGCATAAATATGAATACATAGACAATCATACCTTTTGTTCCAACCAATCAGCAAAGCTTCTATTGATCAACCTGTCGACGTCGGACTGTTTCAAGTTAGTTGTATGAGGCAGTTTTCTTTTCTCTTCATCAAGAAATTCTCTGCAACAATTGGATACATTAAACAATATATATATGACTGTAAAAAAAAGATAGAATATGCTTGTGTTACGCACTTGCGAAAGTCTTCAAGTTCATCACAATGTCGCAAGACATATCGATGTGCTTGCACTAGAAGCTGGTTGTCAAACCGTCCTATGGTGATGGCCTTGCCAATTGGTTCACCAGCACTCTCAAACATATAAATGTCTTTTATATTATCTGAAGGTTCAGGGTTTCTAGGTGCTCTTGTAAAGCGTGTACTTCCTTCTAAAAATCTTGAACAGTATGTCAGGCACTCTTCTGCAATATAACCTTCAGCAATTGAACCTTCTGGGTAAGCTCTGTTTCGCACAAGTGCCTTTATCCGAACAAATGATCTATATATAATTAAAAAAATATGTCATGTCCATGGTATAGTTAATATAATAGAGCAAAACAATATATAAATACCTCTCTAGAGGATACATCCAGCGGTAGTGCACTGGACCACCGAACTTAACCTCTTCGACCAAGTGTACCAACAAATGCACCATGACAGTAAAAAATGATGGAAGAAAAACTCTCTCCATATCACACAATGTCATCACAATACTCTGTTGAAGTTCAGCAAGCTCGGATACATCTATAACTTTAGAACACAACTTCTTGAAGAACCGAGCCAATCCGTTAACTATATGCATGACAGCTTTACTAGGATAACATGATCGAAGTGCTATGGGAAGAATGTCTTCTAGTAAAACATGACAGTCATGACTTTTTAGACCATTGAGTGTGCAATCTTTCATGTTGACACACCTAGAAATATTTGATGCATAACCATCTGGGGTCTTAATGTTCTGAATTACTGAACATAGAATCTCCTTATTTTCTCTTGACATAGTAAAGGGTGCAGGTGGCAATATTTGCTTTCCTTTATCATCTACTGTAGGGTGAAGTTCTGGTCGAATGCCAATATCTACCAAGTCAAGTCGTGCATTGAGATCATCCTTAGTTTTCGAACTAATATCCAACAGGGTTCCAATTAAATTATCACACACATTTTTCTCTATATGCATCACATCTAGATTGTGCCTTAATTTGTTCAACTCCCAATACTCTAGCTTAAAGAATATTGACCTCTTTTTCAACCAATCTTCAGGTTTCTTTCCAGACTTACTTGCGTTATCACTTGATTTCTCTTTGCATGTCTTTCTCTTACGCTTGAGTTCCCGATTGCTCCCTTTCTCATTACTTTTGTTTTTGGCTTGTTTTTTCTTTTTCGCCATCTTTGCTACGCTTACCTTCTTTTTCGCCATCTTACCAAATACAAATACTCTGCCTTCCAGCATTCTCAAAACAGAAGTTCCATTCAATGTTTTAGGTGCAATTTCCTTCTCTTCAGTGCCATCAAACTGACTATTCAATTCTCGATATTTGTGATCTCGTGGCAACCATCGACGATGACCCATATAACAAAATTTACCACCTTTTTTAAGGCGAAATGATTTTGTAAGTGTGGCACAAGATGGGCATGCATATTTCCCTCCGGTGCTCCAACCATATAGGTAAGCTAATGCAGGAAAATCATTCAATGTCCATAATAGTGCAGCTCGGAGAGAAAATTTCTTCCTTGCAGAAGCATCATATGTTTCCACACCCTCCCACAGTTGCAATAGCTCATCAACAAGTGGCTCCAAATATATATCTATATCATTCCCAGGTGAATCTGGTCCAGGAATGATCATCGACAAAATTAGCGATGTTTGTTTCATGCAAATCCAAGGTGGAAGATTGTAAGGAATAAGCATCACTGGCCAAGTACTATGCTTTGAACTCATATTCCTAAAAGGGTTGAATCCATCACTGGCAAGACCAAGCCGCACATTACGGGCATCAGCAGAAAAACTAGGAAAACGAGCACTAAAATCTTTCCAAGCCTCACCATCAGCAGGGTGCCGTAGCAATCCATCTTTTGTACGTCCCTCCTCGTGCCATCGCATCTCTCCTGAAGTTTGGTCAGTAGAAAATAGTCTCTGGATTCTTGGAATTAATAGGAAATAACGCAACACTTTAGCTGGTTTCTTCTTTCCTTCAGAGTTAATTGGATGCCCATTCTTATCAGTTATCCAACGGGAGGAACCACACACATGACAAGACTCTTGGTTAGCTCTGTCACCTCGAAAGAGCATGCAATCTTTAGGACAAGCATGGATTTTCTGATAGTCAAGACCTAAACCACGAATGATTTTTTTTGCTTCATAACAATTCCTCGGTAAATCTGCCTCTTAAGGAAGTGCATCTGATAGCAAACCAAGTAGTGCTGTAAAAGATTCTTGTGTCCATCCATGTATGCATTTCAGGTGATACAAATTCACCAAGAATGACAACCTTGAAAATTTATCACACCCATGATATAGTTTTGTCTTTGCATCCTTCAACAAGCTTGTGAACATATCTTGTTCCCCCCCAATATGATCATCTCCAAATGTATTATTCTCATCCTCATCCATGCCAGGTTCCACACTGTTAGAGTCAAAATGAATATCATCATCATTGATAGAAGCACTTGATAGAGACTCGTAGCTATCTTCCTTGCCAAATGCTGCATTTAGGAGTCCTTCCATGTCATCCGATCTTCCTTCTCCACCTTCTACCACACAACTCTTGCGAACACTAGAAATAGGAATATTCATGGAGTTGCCTGATACATGAGCAAATACTAATGGTGGTGGATCATATTTCTCACCATGGTGAATCCATTTGGTATAACTTTGAAGAATTCCGGCGCATCTCAAATGTGTTTTAACTCTATCAAAATTCTGTGTTATCCTGTTTCTACAATTCACGCAAGGACAAAGGACCTCGGCATCCTCTGGAACATCACGAAATGCAAGAGATAAGAAATATTCTACACCATCTTTATAAGCAGCGGATGATCTTGGTTCACTCATCCAATCTCGATCCATCATCAGTCATATGGTATGCTGGAGTAATAAGAGAGAAACATCAACCTTGTTATTAACATTGTCTTCTTCAATACTACAAGAATATATTCAAAATTTGCATCCGAACAATATTTTATAAGTCAAAATTCATGATTTTTCTTAGTTTTTTCTTCACATAATTAATCGAGAATACACAACATCAAGTCTTAACACTTACACTAGCTATTGATCTACTGACCAATTCTGAGTTATACCAAAAAGAATGTGAAATTGATTGGGTGATTTGAGAAGGACATTAAGATGCGCATAGAAATAACTATGTTAATAGTTAACAAATTTCATAACCATAATTTAAAATACCACTGGTGAAAGGTAGTTTCATCTTTTGGGAACTGATATCTAGCATTCAGAACCACCTTCACAGCAAAATTTCATAAGATGCGTGGATCCACTCTCTCGTAAGTTGTCTTAACTTGGTTCTACGTAATATCTATGTTACCTTGATACGGGGATACGAATACGGATACGGATACGTGGTACGGGGATACGAGGATACGTCATTTTCTTAAAAACACCGATACGGGGATACGTCTATATATATTTTAAAAAATAAAAAATACAGAGCGAAAACATAATGCATAAAATATATGTAAGCATGTAATGTAAATAGAGTTAGCCAAATGACATCACATCACTAGAGATAATTAGAATAATACTTGTTCTGCATATCAAATTCAATTCAATAGCTATATAAGTTTAAGGGTTGTTTGCATTCATAGTCAGCGATGTGGCTGGAAGTCGTACATCCCAGCCAGGTTCCATGCACCAAAATCTGTTAGTACTATCAAGCATTCAAGCTCACAAGCCTCTCAGGGATAATGTACTCCAATGCCTGGTCACTAGTGACCCTGATGAATCTGCACCAGCATAGCCGCACTAGCAGTACTACTAGTGCTAGATAAGCGATTAAGATTTTAATTCTAAAATTCATCGGATCTAAATGACAAGGGAAAACACATAACAAAACCCAATCCAAATAAAGACTTAAAAGGGAAAAGGACCAAATGGCTGCTGAATGGTGATGATGGAGTAATGGATTGTATGCGTTGGGCTTGCCAGCCGGCGGAGAAGCTGTACCTGTTGGTGAACTGCCGAACGGAGGAGGTCCTATGCCCACGGCTGCCGGTGGAGGCCCTGCCCCTCAGGTCGCGAGCGGCGGCGGAACCCCGCACCCGACGACGGAGGAGGCGCTGCGAGATGCGGAGGCGCAATCTGTTGGCGTGAGTTGTGTCGCCGCCACCAAGGGGATTGTTCACGAGGGTTATTGTTCAGGAGGGTGTTGCGGAGACTATCGTCCAAGAATTCTCACAAATACGCACCCAACAAAGCAAAGCGTCGGCCCAACAAATAAAGTGGTTTGCAGCAGGTCCAGCCCACTTCTATCAACCAAGTACGTGTATATGTTTGTAATTATCCTATCTAACAAAGAAGCACATTCTTGCTGCTTAGTTATTCACGTTAATTTGGTTAGTGCCCCATTATCGCAATCTGTACGTTCTGTGGACGAGTACATTATTTTTCATGTTTTTCAATGCAGTCCAAATGATTCAAATAATATTATAATATTAATCATTTGAGAGAGACTTTATTGAGTCTGAATGATTCAAAAATTATTATAATATTATTTTAGTCTCGGAAACCCTCATGATTTAAATGATTAAATAATTATAATATTATGTGATGAAGATGATAAGGAATTATGTAGTTTTCCGATGGAATCTAAATGATTCAAATATTCTTTTTTTCTGTGTAAATAATAATTGTATTGTTTGATGTCAATGACATGCATATAATGAAGATGTCTCAAAATTCATATCTAAACTCATCTCAGAAATGAGACGTCTGAAAACGTCTCAGTATTCATATCTAAACACATCTTAGAAATGAGACGTCTGAAAACGTCTCAATATTCATATCTAAACGATGTAGTCTTATGCTAATCGTAAAGTGTCTTAAACTATGTCTCCAACTTGTAAAGCGTCTCAAAAGTCGCCTCTATTTTAATCGTAATTCTCAAAGTTGAGACAACTTACAGAGTGTCTTAAGTCAAATGTCTTATAACAGTGGTTTTGTTGTAGTGCGCTCCACTACGGCAGAAGCTGGCCTTTATTAAGTGCAAATGAAATTGGATCACAACTCAACAGATACAACTCTACTTCCACTTCGATGATCTGCTGCTCATGTAGTTCTATATATTGTCTGCACTTTGTAGCTTGAGAGCCAAAATGACCAATGTGATCACTGCGTTGCCCAATGAACATCTCGCACAGGTGTGCGAAGATGCCCAATGTCATCACTGCGTTGGGGGTAAGGTGCGCCATCTGGAGATCGTAGAACTCCAGGACATCCATGAAGAAAGAAGAAAATGGTGGAACCAGCCCTGCCATTGCGAAGGGGAGAAAGAAGACGGACCGCCCCGGGTAGTCTGGCGCCGGGCGTCCCTCACCCAGCATTACTATCTCACGGCCGGTGGCAGATTCCGGCATGAAGCGGCGCGGCAACCCAGCCTGCTTCTCGCTCACAATGCGAGAAGGCGGCAGCACGCTACCATCAAGCAGTGCGGAGCCCCGTGCCATGGCGCCGGACGAAGAGAAGATGAAGAGCGAGCGCGTGTGGCGAAAGAAGGGCGCAGGGAAGAAGGAGTTAGGACGCAAGCGGCGAAGGCAAGGGAAATGATGGCGAAAGGAAGGAGACAAATCCCATCCTCAGTGCCTTTATACCCTTGCCAACGCTGTGCCCGGCTCCTCGTTTCTCGCGCCCATTATTTCGCCCCCTCGTTTCTCGCACCCACGCTTCCACTAATCCCATTCGCCCGCTTGCGGCGCGTGAGATGGATATGCGGTTGCGGCAGTCGAGATAGATCGTATCGTGCGCGCGTTAATTACGCTCGCCGACCGAAGCGACATTACCGTATCTCCAGGCGAGGCAAATCGGCTCGCCCAGATTCGTGCGCCGCTCAGGTGATGTGGCAGTCTTGAAGAGACCGCCCATTATTGACAGCCAAATTACCATTACCGGTGTGCATGGTTTGAGACCGTTGGGTTTTTGCCCAACCATGGAGACCGGTCCCACCTGTCACCAGGCTTTAGGAGTGGCGTCACGCCCGGCCGCTTCCCATAAGAAGGGCGATCGCCCTGGCATAACGCCGGGGGCTACTGTCGGTGACATGGGACCGGGAGTATCATGACTCGAGGCTTGAGGCAGACACAATCGCCCACGTGGCCTGGCACCCTCGGGGGACGTCGGGCCCGAGGGTGATGTGTGCGCCCACCTCTTGGTCTTCCCGAGGGGGGGGGGGGGGTCGGACCACTCCAGCCTCGCCCCCGAGGGCCGAGGCGCCCCGACCCCTCGCGTTTTCTACTCCACGTGTATGGGTTAGGTGAGCACAGCAGGGCTCACCTAACCGCATTTATTGCGCCTCGGCTAAGCGTGTCACGCCGCACGAAGTGCAGTGCAGTGCACTCGATTATCCGGTCTGTGACCAGTCACAGACCGGTCAAATCGCGTGTTAGGTGGCGACAGGCGGTCAGACGCATGCTTCGCCCCATCCTGTCTAGACGAGAGCTTCTAGGCACTCGTCCCCGGCTGGAGCTAGCGTGTTACATCCCAGAGATGACACGTTAGCCCCGATCGATATATGCCAGGCTTCATCCTAACCATTACAAGCAAGATGTTGTTTGAAGAAGGGCAAACATGCACGTTGCTGAGCCGACGTGTGGTGGACAAGAATGACCGATTTGTGACCGGTCTGACACTGCTCATGTCGTCAGCACACAGCCACCTTCCCACGACGTGCCCGCCTCAGGCAGAAGTGGAGGTAGGTATGTGCCGTCCCGTCAGGAGGATGTTCGGAGGACGACCGTGCAAATCTCCGTCCATTTATGTAAAGAAGAAAAGTCCAGTTTGGAAAGGGAGGGGTGCATGTGGTATCCCCTTGAAGTATAAAAGGAGGACCTTGCCCATAGAAAGGTGGGTTGATTCTTTCCAGATTCAGAGCCTAGAACGAGGGAGAGGTCGGCTCACACTTTGTAGCTCCTTCATACACAGATCCACCAAAACACAGGAGTAGGGTATTACGCTTCCCAGCGGCCCGAACCTGTATACATCGCCCGTGTCTCGTGTTTCTTCCTAGCTAGCGATCTTTCCACATACCGAGAGAGCTTGAGATTTCACCCTAAGCCCCCGGCCGAACCGGCAAAGGGGGGCTTGTGCGGTCTCCCGGTGAGGAGCCACGAGCTCCGTCAAAGATGTAATGGCGCTACCGATCGATGCGCTTAATTTTCAATCAATGAAATTTATTGCGTGGGCCAACGGGTGGAATTGGCCGCACGCATGATTCTCTCAGCGGAGAGATTATTTCCCAACAAAACGGTACCATATTTTAATTGGTCCAATTTCAAATAATATAAAATTTCAGTACATTTCTAGCTAGGGGTGTTTACCTCGGTTACTTCCTGAAGACCCTAAAAGTGCACCCATGAGATACCGATGGCATATCTTAAACTTTGCAAAATTATAATGGCATTGTCGAAACTAGATTTCGGCAATAATAAAAGGGGGTGGCTATCAAGCTAGGAAAGTGTATGGGTTTGGAGACAAAGGATTTATACAGGTTCTGGCCTTCTTATAAAAGAAGTAATACCCTACTCCTGTCCGGGGATGAATCCGCCGAGTGTATTATTGATTGTATGATTCGGGAAAAATCATCATCTGCCCCTAGAGGCGCCCGGACCCCCCTTATATATGGGAAGGAGTCCGGATTACAAAAGATAATCTATATTCCTAACGGAATATGAAGATACAGGTAAAATACAGTCGTAACCGACTAAGTCTCTGGGTGTTTCCTTGATACACAAGTTAAGAAACAAACCCGAGATACAGATAAGATATTCTATCTACATTAGGTATCCTGTACCCAGTTCGAATACCATCGCCGTGTAGATATGGGATACCCATAATCTCCACAGTAGCCCCCGAGTCCTTTGCAGTCGACCATCATAGCCTTCTCAAAGATAATAATCCGAGTACTTCAAACTCTTCAAGCCAAAATCTGCCGAGTGGACTGTAAAGGGCGAAAAGATAAAGAATATGGTGCATCGAATAGATGCACCTAATTAGGTGTAGCCCCCAACTATGTGATTAGTTAACAAACTAAACATATAGTTGAAAGACAAAATAATAACACAATTGTGCATTATATGACAAAAGCATACGCGGCGCCTAAATAGGCATGCTAGCCGACTGCTTTTTAGCCACAATAAAAGAAATCCGAGTGGTTTACACTCTAAAAAGTTCACGAATGAACACACTTGACAGGCATCCGAATATAAAAACTCTAAAGATTACCCATCAAGTATTATAAAGATTATGGTAATAAATAAGTCAAATAGCCTAGGCCATGACTATTTACCATGAAAACAGGCATATAATACGCCAAGGAAATGACTATAATAAAAACAAGTCATCCCTAGTTAACCCAAACAGCTTTTGTAGCCTAAAAAAGCTTGCAAAAACAGCATAACGCCTTTCTGTCGGGCACCTTTTTAATTTGCATTGCAATAATTCCAAAGAATTATATGACCGCATAAAAAGGATTTCATCAGCATCGGGCAACACTGTTGTGCGCATAATATTGCCAAAGCAAAATATGCCTAAGTCCCTAAGGAACACAATGGGCCACGCTGTTAAAAGTATTGGGCTGAAGTACTGTTCAGGCCTAGGCCCATTAGCACCTCCGATACCCTTAACTGAAAAATCCGATATCCAAGCGACGCTTCGTCTTCCCCGCCGGAACTCTCGCCATTTTCCCCACTCCCTGCTACAGTGTAAAGCTGCGCCGGCGAACTAGGGTTCACAGCTCCGGCCAAATCCACCTCCGAAAAGTGCATCAAAATCCTTCCCGTGATCCACCGCCTCAATCCTTCACCTTTTCCAAGCCATCCCTCGGATCAAATCAGCACATTTGAGTGAAACCGATGGCGGAAGAGAGAGAAAGCTTCGAAGGCCAATGGGCGTCATCTGACGTAACGGAGGAGAATCTTAAGGAGATGGTGGCGCACGGCGTTCTCCCTGCCAAGGAGATCATCGGGTGGCGACCAGCGCACGGTGAGGCTTTCCCGTCTCCGGATACTCATGAGATTGTGGTCTTCTCGCATTTCTTCTACGGCGGCTTTGCTCTTCCGACCTCAAAATTTTTCCGCGGGATCTTGAATTTCTATGGAATCAGCTTGCATCACCTAAACCCGAATTCCATAGTGCATATCGCCAATTTCATCCATGCTTGT